CTCAGCCTTCCAAGTAGCTGGAACTACAGGCGTGCGCCACCACACCTGGCTAATTTTTTACCTTATGGTAGAGACGCGGTCTTGCCAAGTTGCCTAGGCTGGTCTCGAACCCGGGGGCTCAGGCCATCCTCTCGCCTCCCAGAGTGATGAGATTACAGGTGTGCCGGGCTGGAGAGCTTTTAGAACCACAGGTTCGAATCCCCTTCCTGACCCATTCTTCTTAGTTTCTACTCTTTATTCCTTATTTATAAAATCAGCTCCAATGTGCCCACAGCTCATCTTGGAAATGAAGAGCCCAGAGAGGACTCAGCCCTGAAGAGGTCTTGGCCTTGAAGAGCTTCCAACCTGGTGGAGCCTACTCCTACTTAGGCCACCACCCCCCCATCCGTTTTTCGACGCCTGTGGGATAGAGGGAAGGACCCCAGGCTGTGGGAGCCCAGAGGTGTTGTGAACTCTACCTGGAGATCAGGCAGGAAAGCCTTCCTAGGAGGAGTAGGTATTGGAACTGGACTTTAAAGGATGGGTAGGAGTTTGTTAGCTGGGGAAGGGCATTCCCCCACAAAGGGAACAGTTAATGGGCAGAGGGGCGGGAGTAGGAGAATTCCCAGTAACGTTGGGACCTCTCTTTTTCCTCCAGACCTTATCGGGGAGGATTTCTTTTTCATCTTTCATTTCCAATGTCACCATCCAGGAGGTGCCCCCTGCTGCATCCCCAGAATCTGGAACAGGTGCCTGGCATACAGTAGGTGCTCATCTAATACACCTGGACCCAAGAGATGAAGCGGTAATAAAGGATAGTTCAGAATAGAGGCCTTGGCGGCATATGCAAAATGGGGTAATGATAACCTACCTGGTACAGTCCCTGTGAGTGAGATCAGAAAGGGTCCGAAAAAACAACAAGGAGCCAGGCTCGGTGGCTCAGCCTGTCATCCCGCGCCTTGGGAGGCTGAGGTGAGTGGATGGCCTGAGCCTGCGGGTTCGAGACCCGCCTGGGCAACTTGGCGAGACCTCATCTCTACAATAAATCAAAAAATTATTAGCCGGGCATGGTAGCGTGCGCCTGTAGTTCCAGCACTCGGAAGGCTGAGGCGGAAGGATCGCCGGAGCCCAGCAGGTCGAGGCTGCGGGGGCCGGGAGCGGCCACTGCACTCCAGTCTGGGCGACAGAGTGAGACTCTAACTAAAAAAAAACAACAACAAAGAACAACTGTATATATATATATATATATATATATATAGGATTTATCGTAGAGATGAGGTCTCATCAAGTTGCCTGGGCTGGTCTCAAACCCATGGACTCAGGCAACCCTCTCACCTTGGCCTCCAAAGTGCTGGGATTATAGGCGTGAGCCACCACGTCCGGCCAATGAATGTGGCTGCTTCTCCTTCGAGAGAGGTGTTTTATTTTTATTCTTTTATTTTTGAATTGGAGTTTCACTCTGTCGCCCAGGCTGGAGTGCAGTAGCACACTCACGGCCACCCCAGCATCCGGGAATATATTAAGTGTTCGGTTTGAATTAATTATGGCTGTGCATTAGTTACTGATGTGTTATATCAAGGACGGGGTGGGGTCTGAGAAGTCCTCCCAGAGGGAAGATGGGTTTGAAGTGGGTTTTGATGTATATGTAGGAGTTCACCAAGCAGGTCATGCCTAAGTCCTGGACTTCTAAATTTCTTACTGGGTGCCCTGGGTGAGGGTGATTTTGTACCTTCTGTGACCTGGAGGGATTCCAATTGGATGGGGGGATACCAGGAGACACAGACACTCCCAGCCTTGTAGAATCAGGAGCGTGACAGAGGAAAGCAAATGAAAGCGGAAAGGTTTGGAGGAGGCCCTGAGGCAGGAGTCCCAGTTGGAGGCAAAGGCTGGCAGGGCCTCACTGTGGAGAGGCTGGCTTCTGGGCTCCGAGGGTGGTGCCCGGCAGCCTGGAAACGTATCTTTATTTCCAGCTGGGACTGAGGAGGCGGGTGGGCCACGGCTGTCCCAGTTTCTGCGTGAGTCAGGTGGGTGGCCCTGCCGGGCCGGTTCCCCTGGGGCCCAAGCTCCTGCCCCGCCCTGGGGAGAAGGGCCAGGCCCCCGCCGCCACCACCCCCACAGCTCCTCCCCAGGCCCTGCCCAGGTCCCCTGTCCTCCCAGCCTCTGGCATGGGGTCATCTCTGCTGCCTCTTCTCCCCTGCCCGCTCCGCCTCCCTTTGTCTGTCACTTGCCACCTCTGTCACTCAGCTGCTTGTTATCTCTTCGTGGTCACCGCCCAGTGGCCAGCTCTGCCCATGTCCCCCTGGCCACCTTCTCCTCTCCCCCCCCCCCCGCAGCCCAAGAGCTCCTGGGAAGAGTGCATTGACCCCTGGCTTCCCCCCCCACCCGCCCACCTTACCCTCATGGGCCATCTCCTCCCTTCCCTGCACTGGACTGATTTCATTTTTTTTTTTTTTTTTTTTTTTGAGTCAAAATCTCACTCTGCCCCCCAGGCTGGTATGCAGTGGCACGTTCATGGCCTCCACAGCCTCAACCTGCTGGGCTCAGGCGATCCTTCCGCCTCAGCCTAACAGGTAGCTGGAACCACAGGTGAGCGCCACCACGCCCAGCTAATTTTTTGATTTATTGTAGAGACGAGATCTCGCCATGTTACACAGGCTGGTCTCGAACCCTGGGCTCAGGCAATCCTCTCACTTCCGCCTTCCAATGTGCAGGGGGCTGCTTTCTGCCTCTGGGACACACCCAGCTGGATCCAGCCATGAAGCCTTCGCTTTGCTCTGCCTGGAGTCTGGCTTCTCCGACACGTACATTCCAGCTCAAATGCCTCAGCTTCCCGAGTAGCTGGGACGGCAGGTGCCACCACCACGCCCGGCTAGGTTTTCTTATTTGTTTATTTATTTCTTATTGGGGAGTGCTTTGGGAAAATTTTTCATTCTTTCATTTATTTTTGAGTAGGAGTCTCACCCGGTCGCTCAGGCTGGAGTACAGTGGCACAGTCACGGCTCACTGCAGTCTCGACCTCCCGGGTTCAAGTGACTCTTCTGCCTCTGTCCTGCCAAGTAGCTGGGACTACAGGCGCATACCAGCACGCCTTACTAATTTTTAAAATTAATTGTAGAGATGAGGTCTCCCCATGTTGCCCAGGCTGGTATTGAACTCCTGGGCTCAGGCACTCTTCCTGCCTTGGCCTTCCAAAGTGCTGGGATTACAGGTGTGAGCCACCACACACCCGGCCATCTATTTATTTTTTATTAGGTAGTGTTTTTGGAAAATTTTTCTTTTCTTTCTTCCTATCTTTCCTCCTTTCTTTCTTTCTTTCTTCTTCCTCTCTCTCTCTCTCTCTCTCTCTCTCTCTCTCTCTCTCTCTCTCTCTCTCTCTCTCGTTGGAGTCTCACTCTGTCACCCAGTCTGGAGGGCAATGGCAAGCCTGTGGCTCACCACAGCCTCAACCTCCTGGACTCAGGCAATCCTTCCACCTCAGCCTCCTGAGTAGCCGGGACTATAGGCATAAGTCACCGTGCCCAAGGAATTTAAAAATTTTTTTGTAGAGACAAAGTCTCACTACGTTGCTCAGGCTGATCTTGAACTTCTGGCCTCAAAGAATCCTCCCGCCGCAGCATCCCAAAATACTGGGATGACGGGCGTGAGTCACCGCACCTGGCTGGAAAATTTTTCTATTTTTTTGTTGAGACTGGATCTCGCCATGGTGCCCAGGCTGGTGTCTAACTCCTGGCTTCAAGCGGTCCTCCCGCCTTGGCCTCCCAAAGTGCTGGGATTACAGGTGTGAACCACCGCACTCACCTGGGAGATACACCTTATGGGGTATCTCGGTGGAGAAAAATAGAAGAAAAGTTTTATGAAACGATACTTATCCTTATGTTGCAACAGTGTCCTCTGATAGCTTCTGCTCTATTTTATCTGATTCCACCTCATTCCATCTGAGGCCTTCTCAACTTTGGCACTATTGAAATTCTGAGTTGAGAATTCTTTGGGGAGGCCGTCCAGGTACCTGCCAGGAGCACACCCACCCGGGATCCTAAAATCACACAAAAAACTTGACATGCCAAGTGTCCTCCAGGGGGCAGGGCTGCTCCCAGCTGAGAACCACTGATTTCCTTTAAAGTGGGTACTGACCTGAAATGGAAAAAAAAAAAAAAGAAAGAAAGAAAGAAAAAAGCTACTTTTAACACCATCTTGCACATTGTAGGGACTCCATAAAAACGTAGCGTGTGTCTTCTGCCTCCGAATTTTATTTGCTCAGTAGGTTCTGAATGAATGAATGTTGGGCTCTCGGCTGAAAATCAGCCTGTCTTGCTGGTTTGGGGTTCTCGGTCCGTGATCAGACAGAAGCGCCGATCGCTGTTCCTTTTTCTGGGATGAATATCAATGGGCCTATGGGATGGATATAAATTGAAAATGTAAAAAACAGGCCGGGCGCGGTGGCTCAAGCCTGTCATCCCAGCACTGTGGGAGGCTGAGGCGGCAGGAGGGCTTTGAGGCCAGGAGTTTGAGGCCAGCCTGGACAACAGAGCAAGACCCTACTTCTATTTTTTTCATCACCTAGATCTGCCTTCCGGGAGGGACTTACTACCCAGCCGAAGGATGTTTGGGAAGCCTGTCACCTTGAGGGTGACCCTCAGGCCACCTCCCTTAAAGTCCCACCTGTCTCAGGGCGGCCCACACTAGCGACGGGGAGGGGAGGAGGGTACCGATGGGGACGTTCTGATGTCACACGGATTCTGAAGCACTCGCTCCACAGCCCCCGCCCCCCCCGTGTTGGCCAAGCCTTTGTCCAGCCTCAGTCCCAGCCCAATTTCCTTTGCTCCGTCCAATTTGCTCCTCCCTTCCTCTCTCTCTCTCTCTCTCTTTTCTTTTCTTCCTTCTTCCTTCCTTTTTTAAAACGAATCCAAGTCTCACTCTGTCGCCCAGGCTGGAGCGCAGTGGCACGCTCACGGCAGCCTCGACCTGCTGGGCTCAGGCGATCCTTCCGCCTCAGCCTTCCAAGGAACTGGAACCACAGAAGTGTGCCACCACACCCAGCTAATTTTTTGATTTATTATAGAAACGAGGCCTCGCCAAGTTGCCCAGGCTAGTCTCGAACCCGTGGGCTCAGGTAATCCACTCGCCTCAGCCTCCCAAAGTCCTGGGATTACAGGCGTGAGTCACCACACCACACCTGGCTTTGTTCCTTTCTTTCCTTCTGTATTTTCTTTCCTCCCCGCTCCCTTTCGTTTCTTATTGTGGTCTTACCCTGTCATCCAGGCTAGAGTTCAGTGGTGTGATCAGAGCTCACCACAGCCTTGACCTCCTGGGCTCAGGTGATCCTCCTGCCTCAGCCTCCCAAGTAGCTGGAACTACAGGCCTAGGCCACCACACCTGGCTATTATTTTTTTTTAATGTTGTGGAGATGGGATCTTGCTATGTTGGCCAGGATGGTCCCAAACTCCTGGGCTCAGGCAATTCTCCTGCCATGGCCTTCCAAAGTGCAGGCATGAGCCACTGCAGCCAGCCCAGATTTATCTTTTAAGACAGCAGTCCCCTTTTTGGCATCGGGGACTGGTTTCGCAGAAGACCATTTTTCCACAGACGCAGGGGAGGGATCATCAAACATTAGATTCTCATAAAGCATGCACAACCTAGATCCCTCTGAAGTGCAGTTGACAATAGAGTTTGCACTCCTATGAGAATCTAATGTTTGGCAGGCATGGTGGCTCACACCTGTAATCCCAGCACTTTGGGAGGCAGAGGCGAGAGGATTGCCTGAGCCCAGGGGTTCGAGACCAGCCTGAGCAACTTGGCGAGACCTCGTCTCTACAATAAATCAAAAAATTAGCCGGGTGTGGTGGCGCACACCTGTGGCTCCAGCTACTTGGAAGACTGAGGCGGAAGGATGGCCAGAGCCCGGCAGGTCGAGGCTGTGGTGGCCGGGAGCGGCTGCTGCACTCCAGCCTGGGCGACAGAGCGAGATGCTATCTTTAAAAAAAAAAAAAAAAAAAGAGCGAGAATCTAATGCCACTGCTGATCTGAAAGAAGACAGAGCTCTGGTCGCCTGCCTCTCCCCTCTTGTTGTGCCACCCTGCTCCTACCAGTCTGCGGCCCGGGGGTAGGGGACCACTGTTTTGAGTTTTTCCATCTTGTAAAGCCTCAGGGCTCTGTCTTTCACCCTCACCCCTTGGTCATCTCACCCACCTTCCTGGCCTTCAATACACGTGTATGTGCCTGAAGCCTCCCAGGCTGGTCTCCCTACCTACATGTCTCTCTTGAGTTCCAGATCTGCTTCCTTCCAACCTCCCTTTATGCCGAGTGAAGCACCTTTTTTTTTTTTTTTTTTTT